TTTTAGCACCATATTCCTATCACCCTTGAGGACCTATGCAGTGCAGCTTAGAGGTGATGCACCCTGTACTCTATGTGCAAAGTCCTGTGAGTTTGAAACCCCGGGCCCTTCTCAAGTGACTCATAACTCTGTTTTCCAGTACACTCAAGATTAGCTATTCTCATCCTCTGTGAAAGGCATAAAGTAGCAAATGTAAGCACTGGGAGAGAAACCAAAATACAAGGGAACAATGTCTGAGCAGAAAGGTCAAGTCACTCAAAGATGAGGTTGTATGATACTTGTATCTCTTTTTGGAAATGGCCACTTGGTCACAGCCACACTCACTTGTTTGTTTTTGGTCTTTGTATGTATTTCTGCTGTTTTGGAGACACTTCCACGTGCCTTTGTACTCCTGGAGTTCTAAGGCACTGCTTGCTCTCTCAACATTTTTTTCTTAAATAACTTCCATATGTATCAAATAACTCCCATATGCAGATGCACTGCAGGTGTGTCTCTGAGAGTCATTTGCTCAACCCCAGTACCATTCCAACGTATCAATCCTCTCTAGTGTGTGAACTCACCACCAGACTCTTCAAATCAGCTCCTTTTCTAGTTAACTTGGACACCTCCCTTTCCAAACCAACCCATCATCAAATCCTTTCCTTGAGATGCTCAAGGTGGCACAGGCCTGTAATCCCAACACTGAGTAGGATAAGGCAGGGGGGTCACTATGAGTTTGAAGCCAGCCTGGGCCACATAGTGAGTTCAAGGCCAGTGTGAACTACATAGTGAGACCCTGTCTCAAAAAAAAATCCTTTCTTCAACAGACATGAAGATTGTCCAGTGAGCTCCATTTCTACAGCTGCCTTGTAACTTACAATCTGTCCCCATGATCACAATGACAGCCTCCTAAGTGAGCCCTCAGCATCCCTCTACCCTATGGGATCCCACTAACACTTAAGAGCCAGTTGTAGTTATTTAATTACAGTTGAAATACAGGCTACCCAACTGAAGGGAATACATGAGAACACACAGGAGCTACACAATCTAGGAAGGTCCCAGAAGGTATCCATTGTTCCTTGGATAAAGTCCACACTCCCAAGCCTTGCCCACAAGACCTGCCTTTAATTGGCTCTTGGAAACATCTTATCTCCTCTCTTGCTCTTTTAAATCTCACTCAGGAAACCTCACCCTCACTGGCCTTCTTCACTTCCTCTATGACACTACCATCTTCCTTGCCTTAGAGTTCTATATACTCTCTTCCCTTTGCTTGGAATTCTCTTCCTTGATAAATTATACTCTACCTTTAGCCTTCAGTTTAACGATCACTTCGCCATGTAGTCCTCTCTGGCCCCAGCAAGTTCCAGTCAGAGTTCCCAAGGCAACTTGTATTCTGCATTTATAGCAATGACTAATAGTGACATTAAACAGTTGTTTGCATATTAATGAGCTTAATATCTGCCTCTACCACTAGACCATGACCTCCATGTTTCTCTAGTTTCTTGGCCCAGTGGCTGGAACAAGTTAGACTCTGGGTAAGGATCTATTGGATGAGCCAGAAAACTGTTGGTTAAGAGCTCACTGGTGGGATGCTGGCCTGTGATGGTCTCCAGAGTAGAGAAGAGCAGCCCACATGGCAGACATGGATCTGGCAGCAGCCCTTCTGGTAAAGTGTAGAAAAGGGCATGTGCTTGGTTTAACGTGGTGGCCAGCAATTCCACTAAGGAGCAAAACTGGGCCTTGATGCCAGAACCTGTGAGAAGAAATCACTCTCTTTAAACAATTTCTATTAGAAAAGTTAAAGACATAGCCCTTTGGATGCTCCAGTCTCTCTCTGCTCACCCTGTTCAATTCTATACTTAAGGACCAAAATTTTGGAAAGAAGTCACACCTACCATGGTTCAGCTGGTTGAGAAGTGTCTGAATAGCTGCTTTTCTGGCCATCAAGAAATCTGTGAGGGCTTGGCGAGGGGAACTCTCTTCTAGGAGCATTGTAGAGCAGAGAGCCCCTGCCACAGCTTGGTCAGACACAGCTTGGCATTTGAGCAGCATCTTGCTTTCACGCAGAATTATTGACCTTGAAAGAAGATGACAAACGTCAGCAGGAAATTTTTAACATCTTGGGTGAAGAGCCCTAGTATACTGGGAAAGAAGACAGATTCCATAAAACTGCAGTGATGAAGGCCTGGCAATCACTGGAGACCTTCTTGTAGCATCTACTTACCGGAAGTGGCTGGCTGCTGCCACCTGCCGGATGAGTATAGGAAATCGGGAGAGGATTGAACTGTACTGTGAACTGGATGCAACCAGCTGGAGTAGGCTGTGGAAGTGGCAGCAGAGCAGGTAGAGCTGTGTGGCATGGAGATACTGAGAGGCTTCCATGGAGCTCCAGATATTCTCAGGAATTTCCAATAGCAGCTTGATCTGGGCAGCCATGCTGTAAAACTTCTCCTGGGACGCTGGCGGTTGCTGTTGGGAAGGGCATAACAAAGTCAGAAAAATAAAAGCCAGATCAGTGCTCTGCAGGCTAAATGACAAGTCAGAGGTATTTCAGTATTTTAAGGTTTCACTATTCTGGACTCAGTGCCACTTGGCTGGGTATCAAGGTCTAATGTAAAGTAAACACCTTCATCCTCTGGTTACCAGTGATGCTCTTTTAGTGCTATTTGTTTTGTTTTGTTTCTTGGTATTACTGAGTTGACCCCAGTTGACTCAGCTACATCTCCAACTCTTTTTTTATTTTGAGAGTGTCTTGTCACTCTAATTATGCTTGATCTTGCTATCTTCCTACTTCAGTTTCCCAGAATGATAATATTAGAGATGTGCACACCATGCCTGCCTATCCTCCTTAACCTGTGATCCTGTTGGATATCTTGATTGATAGCAGCAACCCCTGTAGGCCACTCCTCCTGCAAGAACTGTCTATTTTCCTTATGTTCAGCCTTACTATTTTTGCCCTGTTGTTTAAAGGGCACCAAGGGCTTCCTCGTTAACTGCTCTTCACCAACTATGCAAATCTTTTATCTTGAGGATTGTGGCTTTTCCCCATCTTAATGCACCCTCTCAAGCATCCCCTCTCACAGGAGTACTGCCTTATAAAAGAGCTGGAGGCAACTAGCTTAGGGCCTTTAATGGTCTCCCTTTCCACCATTCTTAGTGCAGTAGGAAGGCCCTTATCACATAACAAATGCCACTGCCTTTATCCGGACATCTAAAATGCTGACTATGACAAAATGAATTTTCGTCCTTTATGAATAATCCAATCTGACATATTTTGTTATAGCAACATAAATCAACGAAGAGCTACATTCCAAATCTCATGTTTTTAAGGCCCTTCCTTCTTGAGGACCCAATCTGAAAGTGATTTCCTTTACCACTCTTATGGTAAATTATTTTGGGAATTCATCTGTTATGCTAAAATATTCACTACTGCTGTTCTAAACCACTTCTATTTCTTATGAACTTGTCTTGAATTTATAACCTAGAATATCTCAGCAGGATGGATCAGAGCAGGAATTAGGAGACTGCTGCTTATTTGTGAACTGAACAGAGAAGACACTCAAATTTGGAGCGAGGGAGGGGACAGAAAAGTAGATACAGTAACTATGAAAATGAATACACTTCTAAAGTCAGGTCTTTTAATAAGTCTGAAAGTATGGTTCAGTCACAGCAAATTTTGGCCACCTGCAGAACAAGTACTTCACACACAGTTCATGGAAGGTTGAGGTCATTCATTTCAAAAACTTCCAAAGAATTTCCAACCTTCTTCATATATAGTTCTTATGCATTACCCCATTGCCTAGCCTCGTTTTCTGTAACCCGGGTAGCATGAGAAGGTCCCGCAAGCGATCAAAATGTGCTTTTGCAACTTACTCTTCCCTATCACACTAAGTTGTCACCGGTTACGCTCAAATGCCTCGTACACCTGCTTCATCTCCATGCCCCTCACTCTGCTCATCCCTAGGTCAATTTTCTCCAGGTAGGCCAGAGGCTGCTCCTCATTTACTGCCCCCTTCCTTCTCCTTACCATTGGTGTTTGGGAGAAGAAAAAGAAAAAGGGCACGGAAACCTGAATTTGAAGAGCCCTAGTTCCCTATGATGAACATGTTCAGGTGCTCAAATGTCAGGACTTGCCACCTCAGATCCCCTCCAACTCCAAAGGTGGGGATGCCACCTGGCTGGGTGAACTTATTCCTGGGGGCGGGACAGGGAAAGACGGCTGGGCGGAAGAATGAATGACTGGAGGGGAAGGTGTGAACCTAAGGGAGAAATCTGGTCCCTGGAAAGAACGTCAGGAGGTGCTAATTCGGTAAAAGGGTAAACTCGAGCCCTAACAGGGAGTCCGGCCGCGGTGAGCGGTGAGCGGTTCGGGGAGGAAGTCTGGGCCGCTCCAGAAGACACCTTCGACGACGGGTGGCGAAAGGACCTGTAGCCCTCCAGGGCCGGCCCATGCCGCTCACTCCCGGAGATGAGGTCGGCGGGCCCGGGCGGCTGCGGCACTGACCTGCGGGGCGGCGGGGGCCGGGAGGCGGCCGAGCCGGCCTGGCGGAGGCGGCCGCAGTACTGGTCGGTGGCTTTCACCGCGTCCACCAGCCCCTCGGCGCAGCGGCGCATCTGGCCGATGGTGTCGGCCGCCTCGATCAGGTCGCGGTACCGCTCGCCCACCATCTGCCGCAGCTCCTCCTTCTTGTGCTCGATCTCGGCCCGAACCTGGCGCTCTAGCCTGCGGATTTCCTCAGCCCCATGAGTCTCGAAAAGTGCTGCAGAGTCGCGCAGATCCAGCCGCTTCACTGCCGCAGAGGCAGCCATGGCCGCCACGATACTGGAGTCAATCAACTGTCAGCCACTTCCGCCCACCAGCCCCGCCCCCGCCCCGCCATTTTAGATGAGGGCAGAAGTGCTTCCGCTCCCTCGGAGCCACCATGTTTGTTCTGGGCTTCTTGGGTGTGACAGATGGACGGTGTTGTTTGGAAGGCAGGTGCCTACTTAGAATTAGCTAGGGACTCTAGTTACCTAAAAATCTAGGTAGTAATGTTGATTGTTCGCTTGCCAGCTGACACCTGAAACACTTTTAGGTGCACCTGGACCCTTTCCTTGATAGAAAAAAAGCCTTAAGATAGAGTTATTGCAGTTGGGCACGTGTCATCTGACTGTCATTTCTCCCCTAGACGCCTATGTCCCCTTCTAGGACATGGTAATGCCCCCAGGGACCGTGTTATTTCGCTGTCAGTTGGTTCCACTTCTGTCGAATCTCCTGTTAAAACCTGGCTACCCAGATATCTGGTAGCTTGAGGACTGGAGGTCAAGGGTGGATCACAATGTTTGACCCTGGTACTGCTACCTGCTGGTGCCTTCCGACGCACCATGCCCCATGTCCCCGTGACACGTAGATGCAATGTAAGGAGGCAGATTTGCATCCTGTTATTTGCTAGCATCATTAGCTGAATGTCATTTGAGAAAAAAAGTTTGAGGCCATTTCTGTACGTTGGAAAAAGTTAAATTGCAAAGACTGCCTCAGGGACTCCTGAACACTTATTTTGCTTGTTTCTTTTTCTGATTAGTTCTTTGAGGTTTTCCGTTTTGCTTCAGACCTTCATTTCGTCAGGACAAAAGATGTTTCTCCAGCTACATGTGGCTGAGCGGACAGTGTTGGATAGAAAAAGTGTAAGGAGGCAGCTGGCATACGGTAGGTGTTAACCCAATCAGTAATAAAACCTGTATCTCCTAGTTCAGAACCCTCATGTTGAGAGTTTATAACAGACAATCTCACTCCCCAAATAGTACATTGTGTCATCAGCCATTTTCCACACGGACCCTCTTTGCCATCTATGTCAGTCTGATAATTCAGCCCTGCTGGTGCCCTCTCCCACCCACCAGCTTCATTATTTCCAGGCAATTCCCAGACAGCCACAAATTTCCCTCTGTACATAAATTATTAACTTTTGTTATTCTACTTTACCTCACAGTAGTCCTATACAGTACAGGGAATATCATTCTTGCTTCACAGATGGTTCACTTGAGACCCTAGGAGGAAAATAGATGTACTCAGTACCATTTGCAAAATCTGTTATACCCATCAGCTCTGTTAACTATTCTATAAGTAGCAAAAACCTAAGGAAGGCTATTTATTTACCTACCAATGTCACACAGCTTGTAAGTTACAGTGAGCACTTGCACCTAGATTTTGAAATTCTTAGTTACTGGCTTTTTTTACTTTTTAAGTTTTCTCTAAATTCAGAATGCCCCTTGGTGGTAGGGCTGCATTACTGGCTGTGCAATCTCATTCTACGGGGACAATTTATGTTTCCTGCACAGCATCTGCAAAATCCGTTCTATATCTTGGGAATTCCTTTCTGTGTGGAAGGATCTTTCACTAGGATTCCTTACAGTTACAGGCCAAGCCAGTGGCCTGGGACGGATGAACTAGATATAACCATCTGTCCTCCAAATGGACAAAATGCTGGTGAAGTCAGAAAGCAGGGAAGGGATGAGTCGTTCTGCTAGCAGCCCAGGGGTTACCTGCAGCTTGCATTCCCCAGGGACAGCAGGGGCAGTGAATCCAGCTGCAGCTCATAAGTGCCAGTGCTAGAAACAGAGCTGTTGATACCTGCAGGTATCCACAGGGTGACCTCTCCAGAATCATCCAGTGGCATGCTTTGATTGAATTTGGATATGTACCTTCCCTTTGTCCATTTTCCCTGTTTCTGTAGCTTTGTTAGAGATGTTCACTCTGTCTAATGTTTTGTTGATAAATTCCATTGCTTTATTTTAATGTTTTTGTGGTATTGGGGATTGAATCCAGGACCTCACAGTGGCCTACATCCCCAGCTTTTATTTTTTTGTATTTTTGGTTTTTAGACAGGGTCTTGGTAAATCACTAAGTTGCCCTGGCTGGGCTCAAAGGAGTGATCTTCTTGCCTCATACCCCCAGGCTGGTAGGATTATTGGCTTGTGTCACCAGGCTTGACTGATAAATTTCATTTCTTTGAAGCTTAAAGCCAAAGTCTATGGCTTGTCCTAAAGACTCTGAGAGCTTGTACTTGAGTTCCATCTCTATGAAAGTTGGCTGAAGCTTTTCCAATGGTATTGGGCTGTGTGTGTCAATGTATAAATGATGGCAGGACGCCTGAAGTTTTACATAAGAGATGCTCCTTGTACATTTACATAATACCTGCAATTTCAGATTGAGAAAAGGTCAGCTGCCAACCAAGCAGCTGAGTGTTTCCAGAGACCAGTGTGCTCTGTGATCAGGGCTTGCTCTCTATGTCTTTCTACTGTGTTTTTCCTGCCAAGTTTATTTGACTGTCCTGAAGATGCCACTGTTGTTCCTCTTCTTGCAGAACTCGGTGCTGATGAAGACCGTCTGAAACCTTTCTTCTTAGCCTGAACACTGGAAACACTCCTGAGGCCTGGAGGAAATGGATCATTGCCTCTGCTTTTGAAGCCTCTTTTCCTTTCATCTGCTTCCAGGGAGCAACCCCACGTCTCCTGCTGCCTTCTGTCTATCAGCTGGAATTATGAAAACTAGGAATTGGCAAAGTGCTCAGCTTCGGCAGTTGGATCAGAAGCTGTGTTGCAGACAGGCAAGAGAGGTGAGAAACTAAGTTCTTTTTACATGAGATACTAGGAGGTACATGAATATTGCCATAGTTTAGTTTATTGTAGGCATAAGTACAGATATGACTCCTAGTACTGCATCAAGCTTCCTTCCTTTTACATTAACACATTCCTGCCATCTCAAATCACCAGTACTGTCCCATCGAGTGACTCAGGACACTTGATGGGATTGTTCCATGCTACCCAGTAGGACAGTCATGCATGTACCACTAGTGGTTGAAGCCTGCAGGAATGTAACAGATTCAAATCAGAGCTTCCCAGCAGTGAGACATATGAATTATGGTCCCATTATGACTTTCAGCTATAGAATTCTAAGCCTGCTTAACCTGTTATGGTATATTTAGATCATCCTGGGTCCCTGCATTCTTCTGATAATAGTAGCTCTAATTTTGGGCACCATCTAGGTGTTCTGCATATATTATTTCTAATTCTCACACTAATCCTTTGCATAAGCAGTTTGGCACTCATTTTACTGATAAAAGCCAAGGTCCATCCAGTTCACATAATCTGACTGAAGTCCAGAGCCAAGCCTGTTTTCAGATCCTGGTCAGTCTGACTTTAGAAGTCCTTGATCTTTTTGCTTTGTTGCATGATTAGTTTCAAAGAAAATTTCAGAATAACAAGAGACGCATGGTCTCTTGCATGGTCTCCAGCAATTCTGAGCACCATTCAGATAGTCCCCATACACTCCCTACCCTCTGCTTAAGAGTGGGTCTCCATAGTAATTCAGGCAGTTTGGGGCCCCAACATGAAATAGATCTCCAGTGATTGAGAGCTAATGTCGCATGGAATGGCCATTCTTGGTAACCAAATGTCAACTGTGCTATAGTGCTATCTTCACCGCCAGAAACATATTCTCACATTCAGTCTCTTCGAGGCCCCCCGGTATGTACTCCTATCTCATTCAGAACATTTAGGACCCAGATTTCTTCTTCTTTTTCTTCCATATTTCTTATTTTGTAGTAGATATTTATAAATGAAGCCAGACTCAAATATTTCAAGGAAAGAGACACTATGGTAACCACTATTAAGTCAGGTTATCCTGTGATGAAGCACTAGGTTGCTGAAATTGTTATGCTTTGACCTATATTGTTATGCTGTTATATCCTCTTTTATCTCAATCTCCCCCTTTTTGTAAAAAAAATTATTGATTTATTTTATTATTTTTTTTAATTAAGGGAAAAAGTAAAAAAAACTCAGCAGGATATATTATAGTAACTTTTTAAATTTCCTTTTAACTTGATTTGAAGCCCTGTATTGCTCCCACCATCTTGTTTTGACTGATTTCACTCTGTTTGTTCTGTTTGATAGTATCAGTTTGAGGGTATAGGCAACTACTTTGAAGGCAGTAAGATTTACTATGACGCCCATTCTGATTTGACTATTATCTTCTTTTGAAGTCCTGTAATGTCTCCAATGTTTAGGTTTTATTAGTCTTGTTCTGCACTGTTTTGTTCAATTTTATTATACCTAATGATATAGGCAATTCTTTTTAAGGTAGCAAGAGGCATTATGGTAACCATTGTTGATTACCTTGTATTCTGTTTTTACATCATGTACTATGTCCATCCTTTGTTTTGACTGACTGCTTTGTTTTGTCATATTTGGTTTTATTCTCTTCCAAAAAAAAGTAATAAGAACTATGGGAGTAATAAAACCCAAAATGTGTAAATGTTGTTGTAAAAAGAGAGGGAAAAAAAGTGCTCTAAAGGATACAACTGCAAGTGTGTTTAGGTGTGGTAAGATAGATGACCATATTACTAAATTTTTGTTGGATCATTGAACACAACTGTTTGCAGTCTCACTGTTTGAATGTCCACTTTGTATGTTTTAATCCTGTAACTTGAACAACTATTTCTAAGATGACAATATGTAATGTATTAACTAGTGATACTTTTTTTGTGAAATTCTGTATTACTTGTACCTTTATACTGTTTTGTTTTGTTTTGTTTTGTGCTCCTTTAAATAAAATTTAAAAAAATAAATGAAGGCAGAATAATGCTGAAAATAGATGGGTTTTCAATAGTTTGGCTATTGAATGTCTCCTCCTAAGCCCATATGTTAGAGGGCTGTCCCCAGGGCAGGACTTTCAAGAGGTGGTAGAACCTACACAAGGTGGCTCTATCTATGGGAGGACTTAGGTCATTTGGGGGTGGCCTTCAAAATAATATGACACTGTGGTCACCTCTTTGCTTTCTTTTTTTTCCTGGCTATGAAGAGGTTTTGCTCTGCCATGCTGGCTATGGCGTGCTGTCTGGCTACAGACCAAAGTGATAGGGCCAATTTATCCTGCACTTAAAAAACAAAAAAATCCTCCCAAATTGTGAGCCACCATAAAACTTTTCTACTTGTACATTGATCACCTCAGGTATGTCTTAGAGTGATGAGAAGCTGAGTAACCTAGGTTTTGAACATACTTATATAGATACCACACATTCTTCCTTTGTTTATTATTGGTCTGGCATCTGGGAAAGGCTCTCACAAAACTGACTCTTAGACCACATGACTCAAAATATTTGAAAAACACATCACGCGTATATAATCACAGAGAATCTATACAAAGAATGCACTGGAAAAAACATGAGAGTCTTTCACCATCAGATGTCTATTTGAAATAATAAAACACAGTGCTTATTCATATCCCATCCATTCCAATGCCTTGTTCCAAAGCATCTTTGCTGTCAGGTGGCTGCCATTTTGCATTTCCACATGAAATCCAAAGAGCTAACCTTCAGTTCTTGAGATTTTTCCTGATGATATTCTCTGACTGGCAAGGTTGAGCACACCCAGAGAAATGCTACTGAATGGAAGAGACAGAATCACTTAGGAAAATAAAAATAAGACATTTCACTGTGGTTAAGCTAGGAGAAATGGGAAGGGAGAAAGCTACAAGGAAGAAAAGAGACAAAGAGAAGAATCTGATCACAAATTAACAGAAAAGCAAAAGAAAGGGAAATGTATTGTAGTGAAGTACTGATTGTGTCAATAAAAGTCACATCAGGGAGCAGAAAGGTGAAATTCAGACACTTGATGTTTGCTCTTGGCTGAGAGGCCAGTGGCATTAAGAGAGTAGTGGGTTGCCTTGACATCTTATCTTACTTGCAGAGTTTCTCATCCTGTCTCCTGAAGGTGACATTTACAGTAGAAGGGGCGGTTATTTGACTTAACTGTTTGCAGATACCTGAAACACTGCCTTTAACAAACAACCAGGCAGGCATTACCGGCAAAGGAGCTTGCACATCTGGGCTTCACATTGCCTTAGCACCATTCCTTCACATTCCAGCTCTAAAGAGTAGAAGCAACTTCAGTCTCCAGACTGTATGTCTTTTGCGAATGTAGACTTGAGAACCTACTGTGCTAACTAGCCCTGTGCTGTGGTTCCGGGGGAATGCAGCAGGTACTTTACTGAAGGTCAGTAATTCTGTAACAAGTTCTTCTTTTTCAGACTTCCTGCATGGCCTTATCTATTCCCTTTACCACATTTCTACCCCAGATGAGGAGCTTTTGCACATGACTTAAGATAACAAAATTGTCCCCAGTAGATTTACCGAGAGCTATCTGAATGTATACTCACGTATTCTACCTCTCTCATGTTAGAGAAGACAAAGCAATGGGCCACCGTTGGCTCTTCTTGTGATCTTTGCTTTCAACACTTTCACCTCTCTAAGACCTTAGTCTCTCTTTCTCCTACTTAATTTTCTCCCTTTCAGCTCAATCAGTGCCATTATCTTAAAATCTTTTCTAATGACTTACATCTTATAAAAGTACTGTGTTTTCTCTTTGTGTCTTCTTCACATCCCAGTAAAGCATCTTGATCTTCAATAATGGTTATCAGCAAGTCATCTCCCATTCTGTCTCCCATCTGCATCCACTAGACCCCCTCCTAGGACCACTGCATCCACCACAAGTTCTCCGTTTTGGTGATTAGTAACTTCTCAGTGTTTGTACCTTTTCTGGAGAGCTGGGTTCAGCTGACCTGCCTCTGTTCACATTGTTTTCTCCTAATACCTGTAATGTGCTCTTTTAGCTTTCTTCTTCCCTTCTCAGATGCTTCTTAATTTTTTTCCCAATTTTTCCTTCTCTCCTTTACTTTTCTCCATGTTGGATAGTCCCAGGCTTCTACTTCAGCAGTGGTCACTTCTCAGTGGTCCCGCTACATAGGCGTCTTCATCCTTGCCTTAGGATATAGACACTCACTACAGTGGGTCAAGGAGAAGCTTTGCTGGCTGTGGAAATAGGAAGAAGGAACAGGCATTTGCAGATGACTACTGTTTGCTGTTCCAGCCCTGCATGCCTGCTTTGAATGTCTAGCTGTCTCCTTTAATCTTTACTTCACTTAGTCAGAGATCTAATAGATTCAAAATAAGAAATGTCCCTCACTATCAGTCCATACCTCAAGTCATCCTGTCCCAGGAAATGGCACCACCCTGTTGTTTCTGGCTAAAGCTCAGAGAAAATCCTTCATCTGTTTCCTCTCACTTTCCATGCCCAATCCATTCACCAGAGTTGTGAGCTCTTCCTTTAAATCAGAGGTCCATAAACTCTTGTTACAAAGAGCCAGATGTTACATGAGTTTTTTTTTTTTTATTTAAGAGGAAAAAGAGAAAAACACAAAACAAACCAAAGCGGTGTAAGGGTACACGTAATACAGAACTACAAAAAACAAAACAAAACAAAAAAAAACAAAACAAACAAACAAAAAAAACATAACAGTAAGAAATCACCTGTTAGTAGATTACATATTATCATCTTGAAAATAGTTCCTCAAATCACAGTATCAAAGAATACAAGGTGGACATTCAAACAGGGAGACTGCAAACAGCTGTGTTCAATGATCCAAAAACATTGATATAGTCAGCTATTTAACACCCCTAAACACACTTGCTGTTATATCCGTTAGAGCTCTTTTTCTTTTTTTTTCCCCTCTCTTTTTTACAACAAAATTTACACATTTTGGATTTTATTACTCCTTAGTGCTTATTACTTTTTGCGGGGGGGGGGGGGAGAATACAGTCAAATATGGCAAAACAAAGCTGTCAGTCAATACGAAGGATAGACATAGCACATGGTGTAGAACAGAGTACAAGTTTATCAACAGTGGTTATCAACGTTGTCCCTTGTTTCCTTAAAAAGAATTGTCTATCTCATTAGATATTATAAAGTTGGACAAAACAGTAGAGAACAAGACCAATAAAACTTAGGCATTGTAAACATTACAGGACTTCCAAGGAAGACAATAGTCAAACCAGAATGGGTATCTTAGTGAATCTTATTGTCTTCAAAGTAGTTGCCTATGTCTTCAAACTCGATACTACCATATAGAATGGAACAGAGTCTAATCAGACAAAACAAGATTGTGGGAGTACTACAGGACTTCAAAACAAGTTAATAGGAAATCCAAAAGAGTTACTATTTATATATCCTAATTTTTTGAATTTTTTCTTTAATTAAGACAAACATAAGAAATGACTAAATAATTTTTTTAAAACAATAAGGGGGAGATTGAGATAAAACAGGACATAACAATATAACAATAGAGGTCACAGCATGACTGTTTCAACAACCTAGTACTTCACCACCATATAACCTGACTTAATAGTAGTTACCATAGTGTCTTTTTCCTTGAAATATTTGGATAAAACTTCATATACTCTAGCTTCAAATATTTTCATATCAAGAAGCCCAGAATAAAGCCTTTCTAATTAATGAGTGAAAACTTTATAAGGCTCCAAGGCCACCTAATGGGGAATCATGATTACCACATATTTTTATATATTTGAATCATTACTTACATTAGGGAAACTATTCGGTATTCACACATGCGAGATTGATTTATTTCACTTATGAGTATGGTCTCAAGCTGCGCCCATTTATTGATAAATATCTCAATGTGATCCTTCTTTATAGCTGAATAATACTCCATTGTATAGAAATACCACAACTTTTTTATCCATTCCTCAGTTGATGGACACTTGGGTTGTTTCCAAGATCTGGCGATTACAAATTGTGCTGCTATAAACATAGGTGCACATATATCACTGTGGTATGATGCTTTCAGTTCTTCTGGGAATATGCCTAGAAGTGGAATAGCTGGAATAAATGGGATTTCCAGTCCCAACTTTTTGAGAAATCTCCAGACAGATCTCCACAAAGGCTGTACCAGTCTACACTCCCACCAGCAGTGCAGGAGAGTTCCTTTTTCCCCACAGCCTCTCCAGCATTTGTTGTCGGTTTTTTTGATCCTGGCCATTCTTTCAGGAGTGAGATGGTATCTCAGTGTGGTTTTAATTTGCATTTCTCTAATTACCAATGATGATGAGCATTTTTTCATGTATTTATTTACCATTTGCATTTCTTCATCTGAGAATTGCGTATTCATCTCAGATGCCCATTTTTGGATTGGATCTTTGAATTTTGGAGGACTGAGTTTCTTTAATTCTTTATATGTTGAGAGTTGAGTTCACTAAAATCTTTTCCGAGTTTGTGGGTTTTCTTTTCACTATGCTGGAGATTTCTTTTGACATGCAGAAACTTTTTAATAAGAAGTGGTCCCAGTTATTGATTCTGGGAAGTATTTCCCGTGCGGTTTGAGTCCTGTTCATGAATTCTTTACCTACTCCTATGTCTCCAAGGTTTCTACCTAATTTGTCTTCCAATAGATTTAGTGTTTCTGTTTTAATATTCAGATCTTTGACCCATTTAGATTTTAATTTAGTACATGGTGATAGACATGGGTCTAGCTTTAGTTTTCAGCAAATGGAGAGCCAGTTTTTCCAGCACCATTTATTAAAGAGACTGTCGTTCTTCCAGTGAACCTGCTTGGCTCCTTTATGAAAGATAAGGTGGTTGAGTGTGTTCGTAGTTGTGGTTGTATCTTCTAATCTATTCCACTGATCTTTGGCTCTGTTTTGATTCCAATACCATGTTGATTTTACTACTGTTGCTTTGTAGTATAACTTCAAGTCAGGGATTGTGATGCCTCCTG